CTGTAGGCTTCCTTTTTGTGTTTGAGTGTGTCCAGGAGCTCCTTGTTCATCCATGCAGGCCTCCTAGTATTTTTCCTGACTTCCTCTTTGTTGGGATGCATCACTCCTGAGCTTGGAGGAGGTGATCCTTGAATATTAACCAGCTTTCTTGGGGCCCTCTTCCCTCCAAGGCTTTATCCCATGGCACTCTACCAACCAGATCCCTGAAGAGGCCAAAGTCTGCTCTCCTGAAGTCCAGGGTAGTGATCTTGCTGTGCGCCCTCCTTGGTGCCCTAAGGATCTTGAACTCCAACATTTCATGACCAATGGTGATGTGTCTCCGCTGCTATAATCCTCTGCAGAGACAGAAGAAAAAGATACAGCTTCAGTTTCTGGAGCAAAGTGCATGTTCTCCATGTCTCTGCCATGGGATATGTTGGTCATTTCCTTTTTTAGTTCATTATTTCCGATTACTTCGGGCTACCTGTTTAAGCTGAAGGCGGTAGTGAGGAAGCCAGGCTGTATTAAGGTCCGCTTAACACCTATTATGGCCCCAGCTATAGATCTGGTCTTGGCTTTGTCATCCATAATGTAGTCATATATTCTTTTCTCATTCTTTACCTTTCCCTCCTGCTAGTAAAGACATGGTTTGTGTATCTATTGGGAGGGAACTGAAGTAGTGCTAGGTATGCCTTGCCCTTACATGCCCATGCTCTGAGTCTGAAGGGGGCAGGACAAAGCACACCACAGTACAGGGTGTGACAAAGGGAAGAAGTTCTTTTGATTTCAAATGATACACATACATGTCAATTACATACTTCAGGTACTACTAAGTAATCTTTGTTTCATAATTAAGATAACCCTTAACTTTAAGAATATCTTTTGCCCTCCTGGAATTTGCTGACACACTGATTACACCTCAGCCATCTCCTGGAGTAAGCAACACAGTCCTAGAGATAAACAGACCTCTTCAAAGCACTGTTTTGATTCATTCCTGGAGCTGGTTCATTATGCGTATTGGATGGAGACTGGAGACCTCTGAAAAATTATGGTTGTGTAATTAAAGACTAGCATAATACATATATACAAAAGTGGAAAATGCAGGTAAAATGCAAATTATTGTATTTTCTCATTTTACTTTAGTGTCTTGACTCTGCAGTTATTTTTTGGCAAAGTTACTGTTTGTTTTTTTTTTTAATTAACAGACAGATTATAGACACTGTTTTTAATTAGCCTTACAAGTAAGATATTTAAAGGTAGAAAGTTGAGACCCAACTTCAACTGGAGGTCCATTTCACTTTGTGATCCTTCAGAAATTTGATCCTGCATATGCATTTGTAATTTTTCACTATGCTTACATATACACTTTGACGAAGTCTATGTCATGGATGGATGTATAGATAACAGCCGAGGGCTGGGATTTAAAGTCCTGGGACCCATGTCTTCTCTGAGAGTTGTTATTACTAAGCTGTTTTTCTTTCTTTCAAGACTAGAGTATTGTAAGAACTGAAATATACTAGAAGCTAACAAGGGAGGAGCTGCTGTCTGTACCCAAGAAAAAGTACAATCCAACATGGGCAGGCTGGACTTATTTTTTTGCTAACTTAATGATTGCTGTGTAGCCAAAGGCAGTGTCTTGTAGATGGAGATTTCTCTTTTATCTATAATGTAGTTTATCTAAGTAGGTCTTAGGATCTTTTTCTTCTCTAGAAGATCCCAGAAGACTTTCCAGACTTGCTGGATTTTCAAACGGCTTTTCCAAGTTTTTTATTCTGCTTTATCATTCTGTAGTTTTATATTTTGATTTCCCTTCATAGTCCTAGTCCCAGAACTTCCTTGCAAAGTTCTCATGTGCTACTAAGGACTTTTATGAATTGTTTTCGTTGTTGGGATTGTTTGGTAGTAGATCAGTAGCCTATAGAAACAATGCAAAAGGCAAATTCAGGAGATGGAACAGTATCAGTTCACAAAACCAGGAGAACCTGTTCGTGCTGAGAAGTAAGGAAACATCATCCTGTGCATGTGTGTGCCGAAGCACCAGGCTTTTTGCAGGAAATTGCTGAATTTAGGAAACAGTCTTCAAATCTGCTGAGTACAAATGAGTTACTACTGAAATGAAAGCTACTAAGAAAAATGGTAGTAGCCCTTTTACTTAGGAGCTAGAATGTTAGCTCTGACTTATTCATCACCCACACTACAAAATCTGTAATCAGCATGCGTTATACTTATGCACATGCCACAACATACTTCTAAAAATCTTGTTGTGTCTAAATTTCCTTTGCTTGATTTAGCTCGCTCAAGTACTATAGTGGGAAGTGTTGTAATTGCCTAGGTAAAGGCTGTTGATTAAATTGATCTTCCTGTGTTCAATGTAGGTCTAATTTAATCTTGAAAATATATTGCAGGTTTGTACACCCCTTAAAAGGTTAGAAAGATCCTACATTCTAGCAGACTTGCCCTGTATAACCTTGCCTTTGATGCTACAATTTTTTTCTCCCCTTTTTTCATATGTGTCCATGTGCACAGCTCCCTGGGAAATTTTAGAACAAAGTAGGACCTCCCAGGGATTTGCTGCTATAGTAGCATACTTAAAATATAACATACATATGTTAATAAAGGACAATTAAATTCAGTTTGTAGGCTGTGTCCTCTTCTGAACTCACTCCTTCTGGGCTCTAAGACTGTAATCTCAGGAATGTTTAAAGATGGAATAAACTATCATTGTGGCAAAAGCAGGAGTGCTGCCCTTTTGCTCTCCTGCCGGTGTTGGTTTTGCCACCTCAGTTCTGCTACAGATGTATAGTAAACCAGATAAGGGGGCTGACCTGACTGAAAAATACTTCCCCACCCCTATTTAGGATATAAGCTGTATGTTTGCTTTCATATTTTCTCTTCAAAAAGATGCCATAGTTCAGTACTGTAAAACCTGACCTCCTTACATATTCACAGTACAGATATTTAAAAGGTATTTAAAAGAAACAAATAGAAAAAGACTACTAAAATTCATGCTTTGAGGGAATAATATAGATCCTATTTAATCAAGTTACTAATATATCACAAGAATGGAATTTTTTTTTACTTCCAAGATACACTTTCTCTTTTCAATCTAGCCTTGCATTTCTTTTAAGAAAGTGAATATGAAATGAAACAAACTCTTCTCTCCTACTACATATTGCCAAGCAGTGGGTTGTTTTAACCAAAATAAAGTTTTCTGTTAGGAAAAAAAATAACATCAGGGTTTTGGGTTTTTGGTGTTTGTTTCCTTCCCCCCCCGCCCAAGATCTATTTTAGATTTCCTGGGCGTAAATTTTATTTTATATTCCATATGTATTGATACATTTGCATGGGTGAATAAGTACTCTTTTAAATACAGTATACAAATGTTGGCATTCTAAGCAGCTGTAGAAGACACAAAATCATCAACATTGAAAACTGAAAATCAGTGAGCTCATTTGAACTTTAGTGCTTAGTATAGTTTCTAACAGAAATCAAGTATTGTTTGTTGGACATCACGTTTGACTGCCAAAAAAAGTTCAATAGGTGAAATAAATGTGTGAAGAAAGTAATGCTAGTCCACTTATAGAAAATAAAACATTAGCATGTTGCAGAAGGGAGGTTGGATCTTCAGTAGAGTAGGCAGACTGTGGGAACATGAGATTTTTGGCAGTAGGAAGATGTGTATTTCAGAGCTTTCTGTAGCAGCAAACTTTTGATGATGTGTATTTATTTGAATTCCAGAACAAGAATATTAAAAGAAAGCATAGTTATACCAGTGAACTCATTCTCTCCTTTAGTTTTATTTAAAGACAACCTAGGAAAAAAGGGTTCAAGAGAAATAATGCGTATTAAGGCAAAACTTGTGTTACATTTTCTATGGATACTGCTGCTTCTTGTCTGAGGATTTTAAGTTTTATTCTTTCAAGCAAGAAGATTATCTTGTAGTAACCAGCATGTGGAAAACATTGTTCCAGGAATTTTGGGGGCATATTACAATGAAAGTTTCAGTTTGCACAGTAGAATGTTATACCACTCTTTATTAATTGTAGCATAATATAGTGTACAGAGAAAAACTGCTACCTTTTATATACTTGTGCTTTACTTCTTTTTTAATGGTAGTGATGAGAATAAGAAAATTGGTGTGTTTTAGAAACTGTCTGCCTACAACAAGGGGACCGTTCTGTTATGCTGTCCCATGGCATACAGTGCTCTAGATACATGGGCATGGGTAGATTGTTCCCTCCTTAAGATTGTTCCTGAACTTTGAAACTGGTTATTTTGATAGGCCTGCTAAAGGTTGTTTGTAGTTTGGTTTTGTTTTTTTTTTTTTTACTTTTTCCCTTTTGCTTACTTAAAAAACAGAAGCTGAACTACAGTGAATTACAAATGAGAGAATCAAACAATAAAACCAACCCTTGCTCAGGTTTTTGAGTGCCCTAGTCTGAAAGCGTTGCATATCCTGTCTTGCTTTTTGTTTTGTCTTGCATCTAGTGTACTTTCCTTAAACCTGTGAGATTCATGTTAGACATTTGAAGTACTTGGTACTTTCTGGAACAAATGTGCCTGCTGGCATCTTGAGCATTGCTTGCTTCTGCTCTGATGTTAACATAGCACTGTGACAGAAGGCAGATGATGAAGCTGTAAAACAAAAATCTCTGAACTCTGAAACAATTTCACTTCTCCAGTGTAAACATTAATATTGCTTTATTTTGAAGTTCTTATTTAAATGATAAGTTTTAGAATTAACTATTGTTTGTATATATTTTTTTAGAAGTATTAAAAAGCCTCTCTGCATAGCTGTACTGGTGAAAGCAGCAGTTGCAAAATGAAGGGTATCATTTTAACAACTGTAGGCTTATATTTATCAATTTTTTTGTAACATAAAAAGTTCTATCAAGAAGAAATGTAGAATTGGGTGCTGGAGTTTTTTAAAATAAGAAATGAGCCTGTGTTAGCAAATGATTTTTTTCTATAACAGTCTGTCTTTCCTTTTTTTTTTCTTTTTCTTTTTCTTTTTCTTCTAGGACCGGAATAGGCCCTATGACACTTTTAACTTGCACTCTTTGGAAAATTCCTTAATGGATATGATAAGGACTGATCATGAGCCTCTGAAAGGTAAACACTACCCTCCCAGTGGCCCACCAATGAGTTTCGCTGATATAATGTGGAGGAATCATTTTACAGGTTAGGAATATTCATATGTCCATGCTTGCTTGGTGTTTAAACAAAAATCAGCTTTTCAGTATTGCTATAAACTTTTTGCTAATGAATGGGTTGTCAGTTATGTAAAACTTCCATCTTAAGATAATCATCTCTACAGTAGGAAGATAAGGTGAAATGTGTATACATTTATTATAAGTGCACAATGATAATATTATCTAACTGGCATTTCCGAAAACTTGTTTTTTCATATCAGCAAATTGCAAAATTCAGAAAATGTGTAGTACAACTGGAGTCCGATTGTTATGTTCAACATCTTATTCAAAGTTAATACTACTCTTATTTTTTGATCATCAGCTAGTATACAGGGTTCTAAAACAACCACTGTATCAAGCTTAGTCTGTACAGTTGTTTCAGGTTTCTTTTAAAAAAAATGTATCTTAATTTGGATTTCAAATTGTTAGGAGGAACCCAAAGCTATTAGATGTTGTTAAGTGCTGGGAAAGTTTTGATTATTTATGCTACTAAACTGTGTTTGTTCTACCAGGTATAGCATTGGAGATGAAACCATTTCTAATACTTAGCTGATACTGAACAGTGAAAGGTTGTGGCAGCATTTCAATGAGCAAATATTCCTGATCGACCTGCACACTCCTCTGTCTTAATCTTTCATTGGTTAAGTTTAAAAATAGGTACACATTCTTGCTCACATGCATTCTTGCTGACTTTGAAGACTGAAGCTAATAGTAAGACATAAGCAAAGGAAGTACTGAGCTAGAAATGATTCCCAAACTATAAGAAGTCAGGACACTGGAACTGATAGAGAAGAAATTTAGTTATGTATGGCAGTTCCTGTGCTAATGCTTATATACATACTTTTCTGATGTCACAACTACCTCATTTGCTCCCCTCCCCATTTATATATTATATCTGGAAAAATATTTTTTCTTGGTCTAAAGTCTTGTGCTTTTTTCACCATTTTTCTGGGTCCGGAGGTTTTTTCAACCATACCAAACTGTGTTCTGAACTCTTCAGCTCTTTTAACCTGTGCTTTCCACTATTATCTTGAAATTTGCTGTGCTATAGTCGTCATGTGTCTTTAACCATTATTCAGCTGTCCAAAATGGCAAGAAATACTGTCTCATATCTATTCTGATCATAATCCTCCGAAATAAGTGTTAACCTGAAACTTATAAAAGACAAGCTCAACAAAATTGAGATTTCTGCTGGATATACATTTCATATGGCAGGTATTAAAAAAAAAAAAAAAAATCCAAATTGCTAGTAAGTAGATTTAAGTATTTATTGTATCTTATTAAATGTATTATAATCTAGCTAAAACTCCATTTCTTAAAAAAATCAGTATTTATTTAAATACACAAATTGAGATTCGTTTTTTAAAGACTGAATTTCCATATGAACCTGAGCGTGGAAAAAATGAGAAAGATTGGATTAGAAATTGTATTACTCTAGAAACTGAAGACTTTAACATCATATAAGTGCAATTTTGCTTATACTTTTATTATTGTCTTTTTGTAACCATTTGAAAATGTTTTTGAATCAGAATATTAGCACATAAAATAATAATGGGTACAAATCTTTAATTCTTTTGTGTTGTTGGATCATTCTATCAAGAATAGTTTTCAATGCTCAGCTGAGTAGTCTTTGTGAATGTTGCAAGTGGCATATTCCACAGCTGCACCTGAGTGTCATAATGCTATTTAATGCTGGTGTTTTGCATGAGGTAGAAATGAAATTCTTGGTTTCATGAAGCATCTTCATGCTTTTCAAGAAAAGTATCTGTTCCAGAACAAACTTAATATTTTCATCTCTACTAGGTTATCACTGACTAGTTTAAACGGACATTTGAAAGCAGTAGGAACTGTTTCCTTCTGCTCAAAAAGTAAAACCAAAGAGTTGGGTATGAATTGTAAAGTTTGAGTTGATCTTTTTGATTTGCCGGTGGGACTGTTAGCTGTTCTTTTTCTCTAACAAACATTTCTGTCACTTATTGGATGTGCTTTTTCCAGCTATCTCATTTTCTCACTCAGTGCTGCTCACTTGTTTTGGCCTTCCTGCCTCATTACTTAGCTCTCTTCCAGCTTCCAGTCCAGTAACTGTTGGAGAAGTCTTGTTTACTATTAGTTATCTCTCTCTGTCTCTGCCCAGCTGTTTTTTTTTCCCATTGATATAGTTAATTCTCTGTCTTGCTTTCTTTTCCTCCTCCCTCTAACTACAGGGCTTACTTTGCTAACCTCCAGTCTTGGCTTGACCTAGCGTGCACTTTCCTCTACTCCTGTTTTCACACTATGCAGCATGACTGGCAATATTCATAGGAGTGGCTGTTTCAGGACATGTTAATTCTCCCTTCCAAAAAGTGTTGTCTTCCTCTGTGTTAAACAGATCTGTGTTACTATTTTAACTGAATCCTTTTCATAAAAACCTATTTTTCTGCAAACATTGATCCACTCCTCAAATCACTTTCCTATTGCATTTTTGTTGCCTTTCCATGAACATTGGTCTTGACTCTTCCCTTGTACCTCCAACTTTCTGCTATTGCTCTACCAAAGACACAGAAGGTTTTCAACTGCTGCCCTTCTCTGCACCTTCCTCAGATTTCACTTAATCTTGTCTTCTAAACTCACTTGCTTTTTTCTTATTTACCCCACTCTCCTCTGGCTCTCCCCCTTAAAGTAGCAGCACATTTTAGTCTGTAATCACCTTGAGAGAGTAAGTGATCAACTCTGCTTGCTTTTGCTTGTTTCTTTAGTTATTGTCACATTTTCATTTATTTTCACCTTGAAGCTTTTTGAATATACTGGTTATGTACTTCAGCTTGTTTTT